TGCCTCAAGAATCTATCATGGACCCCCCAGAAGGCTGAACTTTAAAGGCCAGGAACAGCACAAGGCCGAACCAGGCCAGTGGGGAGACGTTTGTGGGGTGCTGCTTCATGAGTTAGAAGCACAGGGATAAAGTGGTTTCGAGAGGGTGCCAGTTATTCAGCGGCACCCTTGAGCTTTTCACTTTTTGTTGGGTGAAGTCTCATGGCTGCAGAGCACATGCTGAGTGGCGAACGATTCGCGAAAAAGATACATGCAGGCCAAGGGATTGCTTGCAACTTGAACGGAGAATGCCTCCTCATTTTGGGGCCCCAGGTTTGTCCCAAGGTTCCCAGGAGGAAAACGAGAGAGAGGGATACAAAGAGAAAAGCAGCGCAAGAAAAAAAGACCGAAAGAAAGAAACAAAGAAGGGAAGGAAAGAAAAGAAAGAAAGAAAGAAAGGAAAGAAATAAGGGAAGAAAGAAAAGAAAGAAAGAAAGAAAGATAGAAACAAAGAAAGAAATGAAATAAAGAAGGGAAGAAAGAAAAGAAAGGAAAGAAAGGAAATAAAGGAAACCACAATAGACATAAAGACTGGACGGCAGAAAATACGATAGAAAAGAAGGAAGTAAAGAAAGAGACAAGGGGAGAAATAAAGAAATATAGGAAAGAAAGAAAGTGGCGAGAAATAAGACCAAAGCATACCTGGCTTCATGGCCCAAGACAGCTGAGGTGAATGCACTGGACTGGCGGCGAGACCCGAACAAGAGCGAACAGCTGCTGGGACTATTCAGCTGGGAGAGAGGGTCTTTGGTCTTTGGTTGATGGCATGGATCAGTGAAGGACGGTGCTTATATACCCTTGTCAGTGACCCCAAGTGACTGTAGCAGAACCCCTCAAGTGCGGCCGGGTATTCCCCACCAATAGACCACTCAGCCTTGTGTGGCCTACATTGAGCCTCAAGGTATTTGGGGGCAACACCGTCTGAGTGGCAAGGCACAAGCCGCTCACGGAATTCAAGTCAAGGAGATTGCTCTAAAGATGAGCATTTGGGGTTCCACGCTGGTTTTTACCGAGCAATCACAGAGGTGGTCAAGGAAGCAGGTGTCTACATTTTGCAGCCTCACGCCTTGTTTTTTTTTTGCACACACACACACACACATACAAGCCACATATTTGGTGTAACAACTGAGCATAGTACATTCAGTTCATGCCGGGGAGAGCAGTAGAGTTGATGTTGTCGTGTTTTCCACATGGGCAAGCTGTATAAGTGCATTGTTCAGCACATAAGATGCCAGTTCAAAATACTGTAGGGGTTCCGACATCAATATGGGTTTGTCTCCAAACGGGGGCCAATAGGGATGGCTTCCGACTGGTTTCCCGTCAACCTTATGACAAGAGCTCTGTGCGCGAGAAATAAATCGCCGTCAAGTGCCGTCCTCCAAAAAATTGCTTCCCCGGATTCCCTACCATTTACAGATGGCAATCTTGTTTGAAGGATTCCCCAAAATTTCCCGAGTGACCATGGCCGGTCCCATTTTAGTGGCATCCTACCATGGACAGCTGGCCATTGGTTGCAGAATGCCACTGGCATGGACCCAACTTTTATCCCGACCAGGATGACGATGTCGATGTCCCGGGACTTCTCAGCCCGCATGCGGTGGCAGGCGGGCCGCGGAGTTCTCTCATGCCGATTTGCTCGCTGGGCGCTATGCAACCCATCATTTTTCATAGGGGACATTGATGAAGGCTTTCCATCTTTCCAGCCACGAGGCCCCGCGTTTTTCCTGGAGCATGGCCCTGGGAAAGTCCCAGGGTTCAAGCCAAGAAATTGCATTTTGTGTTGGTAGCCATCGGCGATGGTGTGAGACGTGTCCTCATCCATGGGAAGTTTCATCGGCAGGGTGGCGATGCAGGAGGGGCGAGCAAGGCCTGCTATATTTCATCCGGACAGATGGAGTATCTCAGGAAGATCACTTGACAGTGTGGCGAATTGTTTTGCTTTTGTTTTCTGCTGGTTTGTGATCTTTTAGGGGTGCTCGAGCCACAAAAAGAAGACATGGTTGGATTGCCATGACAGCGGTTCCCATGACTTGAATTTGACTCTGCGGTGTCTTTTTCCTTGAGAGTGCCCATAGCGGCAAGGCTAAATCTAGCACCGCTTGCCTCCCGCAAAACGGTTGAGATGCGCTTCTGGACTAGAATCAATCATGATATGCTTGGGTTGGAACTTGTCAACCTGTCTGGCACACACGTTTCATCTTACGCCGGTGGACACTGTTGCCGCCGCAGGAACCACAGGCTTCTTCTGCCATCTTGCTCATACTCGTGGTTCGCATAATGCAAAGAAAGTCCCTTATAACTCATAACATGACAAAGGAGTCACAAGGATGGCTCAGCCCGGGAATGACCTTTCGGGTGTTGGGAATGAACCAGAAGGGGGGGGACTCCCTTGAAGGAAACCACAAGTGATGCTTCATGCGGGATCATTCCATTAGGGTGTGGCTCAAATCAGGGGTCCAAAATGGAACCCTGGTGAATGGAAAGGTAGACTAAAACCCGCGGTTTGCCCCAGCTGTTCAAATTTTTGCCCCACCGTTTTCGCCTTCCCTGGCCACCCGGCAAGTGTCTTCCCTCGCGCCCTTCTCCGCTCGCAGGTGGCTTTCGCCAAGGTCCGGGAGATGACCAACGTCTCGCGGAAGCGGCAGCACCGCGTGGCCCTGGCCAGCAAGGTGAAGGAAAACCCCGGCGGCGCTGGGGTGGACGGTGGGCGCCTTTGGGGTACTGGAAAGTCTGGGGGCTTTGTGCAGGGCTCCTTAAAAGATCTCCATTTTGCAACCATTTAAGACATGGCCTTTTCCACCAACACAAAGGGGAACCACCATTTACAAGGCAATGCTCAGGTGTATAATGTAAGGATCTCTGTTGTGCCTTTGAGCTTTGAACAGGTGTGTGAAGTGATTCGCTCAGCCCGGGAATTTAGAGTGTGTTTGTGGGTGGTGATTTTGAGGGAAGGGTTTGGTTGTTGCTTCTTTTTGCCGACATGGCACAACCATTTTTTTCACAAATCATGGAACAACCCAATTGTCCCCGTGTCTTCCTGGGGAAACGTAGTTGTGTCTGGGGCTCATGTTACCAGCTTCGTTCACGGGTCCATATCTTGCGCGCTGTGGACAAATCGGAGTGTGGACAAAGGGTTGAAAGGCAAGTCAGCAAGACGACCGTGGCTGGAAAGTAGGCAAGTTGTTGGCAGCATGTTGTATGGGATAAGATGATGTTGCTGGCTTTATGCATCATGTCAGTAAAGCAACACGAGCGCGAGAAGCCCAGCAGATCAGCACTTCTGCAAAATGTGGTACCAAACTCTGCGCAGGAATACCTCATGTTCCACCACAGCAGAGGCCGGCATCGTTCGCGCTGAGTGCATTGAATAGCGCGTTGGCATGATGCAAATGACATGACTCTGACTGCTTGCTTGTTTGAGCGATCTGGACCTTGGCGTTAGACGCCCGTGGGAGTATGAAACAGCATTTTGAGGGAAGCAAGATTCAGCTTTTCGACCCTGAACCTGTTTTGAATATGCGCCATAAACTAAATAGCGAACGTGGCCAGAAACAGGTTTAGGGTTGGAACAATAGCGTCCCCATTGCAATGTGCGGCTGTTGCAACGCATTGGACTTGGAGCTCGGCTAGCAGCTACCTTGACCCTTTAACATGGGGTCCAACCCAAAAGAAAGAGAGATCATGGACCCACTTGAGATGACAGGTGACCAGTCAGTCAGCAGTAGTTTCTCTTGCGGGAATTTCAGGCGCGTGCAGCCGCATGAGCCGGCATATCGAGAACTACGACCGCTCCAACCTGGCGGGCACGGAGGTTGTGGAGTCGCCCTTCGGCCCGGTGCAAAAAAAACACCCTACCTTTTTTCCGGGAAATGGTGCGTAAAAACCCATCTAAACCCCGCAAAAGGTTACTCACTGTTGCCGGATCTGAGGTCAATCATGGAAACTGTGTGAACCCAGATTTTGAGCTACTTCCAGTTGCTGAAATGTTGTCTCGCCTGGTGTTGCAAGAATTGTAAGAGTCCAAATCGACGCCGTCTGAATATGACAAAATCCCACTGGAAGCCATGGTTTACCTTAGAATTGTAAGACACCTGGTTGGGCGAAGGTTGAAAGAAGCTTTGAACCGGGGAGCCAGGGAGGATGCTTAAACAAACGGCTGCAATATGTTTGACCGGGTTGCGAAGCTCTGGCTTTTTGAGCCTTCTCCGGCAAGCTTCAGAATTCACTCGCTGTTTTTTTTTTGCTTTGCGGCTTTCCTCATTGTCCTCTCAGACAGAAAGAAAGAAGGCAACCGTCAGAAAAGGGGAGGGAATTCGTCATTTTGGGTTTAACTTACCGAATGTGTGTCCACCGGCAATGGGATTAATGGATTGTTTGGCCTTGTTGTGCTCAGTTAAGCAGCACTGGAAGGGTGCAAAGGGGCAACCATTGGGTAGTTGGCAAATCAGCAGGTTAGGCCTTTAGTTGGCAACCTTTCTGTTCTTGAGGGGTGATCTACACATCTAGCAGAAGCGCTGGGCGGTATGCAACCGAGCAAAGAGTGTGCTTAGTCAGGGAACAGATTGCCACAAGGCATGGCCGGAAAGGTTCCTTTATTGAACCTGGAACGACAGTAACTTGTGAGCAGTTCTACCAGCCTTTGTTTCAGCGCATTTCGTTTACAAAGGGCACAGCCGGAGGAGACAGTTGTGTTGCTGAAGATGCACAACCACTTCGGCAGTAGTTGCATTCCAAGGTCAAAAGGACCACCCCTAGTGCTTCGCATGTACATGCCAGCAGCTTCAAGGGTGGTCCATTTGTACACCGTTGGGGGGTGCTGTTTTTTTTTTGTATCGCCCCATCTGGTCCGTTCCTCCTCGCATTCGCATCTAGGTTAGCAGATGCGGTGCCGGAGGCGGATCGCTGGGTGAAGAATTTCGAGGACATGAGAAATGCCTTGGAGCCAGCCAAAGCCTCGGCTCGGAAGCAAAGGCGAGGGCATCGAAGAGGGTCCCGAGTCCCAAGTTGCGCCGGTTGCCCGCTGATCGCCTGAGGTAGTGCAGAGTGATCAGGCCCGGAAGTACGACATGAATGAGCTGGAGCGGATGATGCGGATGAATCAGCAGGACGGTTTTGGCTGGAATGGTCCGCTTGTTCAAAACGTTTGACCTTTCACCGTGCCTTTCACCTTTTTCACCTTTCGCAGAATGACTGTCCCACAAACCAAACCTGGTCGTTTTGCCACGGGTGAACCAACTAGCACAGTCACCAGAAGCCAGCAAATCTCTTTCCCTCCCCAAGCCAGCCTAACGGGTTTAGGGTTTAGGGTTCAGGTTGTTAGGGTTTAGGGTTTCGGGTTTAAATTCGGATTTGGTATGTTTGGCATTTGCGGGCCCAAAAGCCATGAGCAAATACAAACTACTTAGTCTATTGTTGTTCGTTCGTTGGACATGGGGACCCGAATGTGCCACAGAAAGCCAGGGGACAGATTTTTTGTCCCATGTTTTGTTGGGAGGCACATGTAGGTCGCAGATCTTCGCTTTGGCGCACGGAGCATGTAAGCATATTGGTTATATGTGCCAAAGTAGGAGGACTTTATAGACTGTGGATCGGCGGTTTCCCCTTGTGGCTTCCCTTTACGCCAACCGCCAAAACCCCCAAATGGGTACCGAGCATGAACAAAAACGCAGAGACACGGAGACAGACGGACACAGAGACACACGTACACATAGACACAGAGACACTGAAACACAAAGACACGGAATCATAGACACCCACCCAGCCAGCCAGCTAGCCAGCCAGCCACCTACCTACCCACCCAGCCACCCACTGGCCAGGAGAACGAGTGGCTGGAAGCCCAGCAGAAGAAGACGGAGGAGTTGCCTTCGGGGTGAAAGCATGGCTTTGTCTCAGAGGGACTCCCTATTTATGGTGGCTTCGACAAGGAAGCAAGAAGCAGCATGACCCCCTTTTGTTTAGGCCTGTAATTTTGAGACCTACACATGAACAACGACTCTGGGTACTTGGATGTGTCTCCAAATTGGGAACCCCAAGATGGGTGGTCTTCAATGTTTCCCTCAAAAAGGGCCACGGGCTACCCTCAAAAACAGATACACCCATGTGAGATTCGGTCAAAATAGCAGGAGCCAATCGTCGGTTCGGGAGCCACATGAGACTCGCTAATGATTCTCTTTTCGGGCACAACATGACACAACACATGTTGACCGTCTCTCGTGTATCAAAATCAGGCACCCTCCCCCTGTCCATCAACTTGTTGGATCTTGGGTTCGCCTTTGGAGAAAAAGGACTTTCTGCAAAGGGGCAAAGGGGTCACAAAAGAACCCAGAAGTCGCGCTGGCTTAAACTTAAACATCGGCTCATTTAGGGACTTGCGCCTTTCAGGCTCCATGGCGACTGATTGCTAATCCCAATGACAAACTGTTTGGGCCAATAAGTTATGTTTCTTTTGGAGGGATATTAGTTGTCCAGTTGAGCCCTTTTCTCTTTGTTTAGGGGGATCCCAGCCTGAAACAATTAAAACAGGATTCCTGGATCTTTCTCTTCAGTTAAGAAAGAGCTATTGCTCAACATCATAGGTGCCTTTTGTTCCCTTAAAATGATGGTTTGAGGATCCAGTCCAGGCCCTCTTCGTGCTGTCAGCTTGTTCAGGTCACTTGGCACAAGTAAAAAGGCAAGAAGTCCCAGCTACAGTGATTTGGGATTTTTTAGTTCAATCCTTGTAATGGATGATTTGTGATGTCCAATTTAGTTGCAACTGGCCGCGTGATCCACAATCAAAGCTCGGTAAGATGAAGGTAATGGACAGTCCCCAACCAGAACCAGGTGTCAAGAACATGCTCGTGTCTGTCCAGTTTGGCTGCTTCTGACTCATGGCGCCCGTTAGGAGATGCTCACGGCGCACAAGCGCCTGGTGGGGAAGACCGCCTCCAGCCTGGCGGAGTCGGTGCGGAAGGTCAAGGAGGCCGCCGGCTGTCGCTCTCGCGGGGTCCGTCGTCCGTTTAGAGGGTGTCCTGTTTCTAGGGGTACCTTCCAATTCCATTCTTTCCAGGGATCCTTCTTTTCAGGAAATCATCAAAAACCCCGGGGAAACAGCTGGTTTTTGAAAAGAACGATTGTTGAAAAGAATGGAGAATCAACCCCTAGACTGTTGAGTGGCTTTAAAGGGAAGCCAGCAGAGTCGTTGCCAAAAAAAGAAGAACGAACACAACACGACGCAATTCTTTGGGTCTGCAAATTAGTAGGAGGGGCACGAACGGATGTCAGTGCTCGTTTTGGTTGCTCTTGCAACCAAACTTTCAAAGTGTACTGAGCCTCAACAAACACACGCACCCATTATATTTTTCCCAGCGCTTCCAGTTACGACATAGCAGGCAAGGGAAACCCATCATGTAACACCTAGGGGCAATAATACCTGGTGATCTACTGTTCTGGTGGCAGAAGTGAAGCACTGGAATTGCACAATGAAAATCCCACTTGCTTTCTTGCCTGTTGGCCCCATCACACTCCTGATCGACATGGAGCCTGAAATATCCCACCCGTTGTTTTTAGAGGATTCCTTCTCTTGTTTTTTGCTTCTTTCTTTGGGAGGACCCGTTCTCGGGTTGCAAAAAAAATGAGGAAACCACAAGGAAGCCGATGGGGTTCCTTCCGTATAGGTCTTGTCAGCGCTGGCGGCAGAGATCGCCGAAGGCGCTTCTGCGCCGGGCGTTGGTTGGGTGGCAGTGTGCGGCACGTGAGAAACATGTAGTCTCCCGTTTCTGCGTTTGTCTTTGTCTTTTCGTTTTTTTGTTTTTTTGTTTTTGTTTTGTTTTTCGTGTGTGTTCTTTTTGGTTGATCGGGGCAAGACACGTTTCCCGGAACACGGTGCCATCGAGAAGGCGACAGCAGTTGGTTCAGGAGTTGGTCTCGAAGAGTTCGGATGGACACTGAGATCAAGCGTTCACGCGCGTTCACCCAGACCGGGTGATGCGTGCCACCACAAGCTTCCAGCATCGCTGGGGGGCACGCGACAGCTGTTTCCTTGTTGCCTTAAGTGAATCCACAGTTTGACAAGAGCCTTTACTCGTTGTTCTTGCAAGCCTCAACGTTTCTCTCCCTAGAACGTTGCATTTCCTGAGTCTGGTCGTTACCGGTCGTCTCCGGTCCTCTCCCCAGCCGCTAGGACAGCAGGTCGTTAGAAAAGTAAAAGAAGCTCCTCAGGGCTGCAGAGACCCAGGATACATGGTGGGAACGGGGCTGTTTTTGAAGAGGCATGCCTTTTGTGATTTGTTCAGTTTTTTTACACTACATGCAAGAAAGAATTAATTTGCTGTTTCCGCTAGCAGTTTGTTCTTTTTCGGTTCTGGGAAAAGCAACCCCTAAGACTATGAAGGGAGTTAGTATTCGCGGACGTATTGGCAGCATAGTTATTCAGCAGAATGAAGGGACTTTCATGAAACTTGGTTGTTTCATGAAAGGTGGTTGCTCAGGAAGAAGGGGGGCCTCACCCGTCAAATCCGTCAAAGCCTGGAAGGCTGATGAGTTCAGTTGCTTCTCAAATTGGGGTTGGAAACATGTCTGGGAGTTCATTCATTATTGAATTTGGGGGAGGCAGACAGACAGTCTTCAACGAGGGGGGTTCTTGTTGGTGCAAAAATGGTTTGGTTTGTTTTTTGGCCAAACCTTGTTGGCCTGTTGAAGTAGTCTTGGCTGGCAGTTGGGGGGCGGACAATGGACAGTCTTGAGCCGGGAGAGGGGCTATCAATCGCGGATCAAGAATGGTACAAGACCTTCAACCCTTAAAGGCTTGGAGCCACAGCAGTGAGATACTCTTTCTATAAAATATACAGTGGCAAGCAAACAGTTGCCTTGTTCTCCCCCTTTGGTTCGGTTTATGTGTTCGATGGCTGTCCGTGCCAGAGTCGAATTATGTGAGGCCTCCAGCGGCACGCGGCGCTGAATTTGGAGCACGAGGCCTTTGAGGCGGAGATGTTCGAATTGTCGCGGCGCCAGAAGACGATGCCCGGCGCCCCGAGACGTGGGCCGTTGGGCACGGGGCTCCAAACACGAGGAGGGGGGCACGCACGGCCGTGCGGCCGTGTGGCGCAGGTTTTTTTCGTTGCCTGAATGGGGAGACAGTGATTTGGAGATCCCTTGTATATTCCAGTTCCGAGCATGAAAAGAATGGGAGTGATGTTGCCGCCATTGGTTACCCAAGGAGTTTGATCTATATTGGGGCAACCAATTATTAGATGGTTCTTTTTTGGGTTGACCCTAGGGGTCATGTGTGAAGCAGCCGAAAGGAAGCCCTGTGTTACCCATTGAACGAGTCACCCAATCGACAGCTCGGCTGGAATAATGATGCGACGGGCCACGGAAAAGTGGGTGTCAGAGGGACCCTCAAACTCAACAGCTGGAAACTATCCCGCACTTGTGAAGCAGTATCCAAGTCTTCAGTCCATGTGCAAACGAGTCGGGCATTGCCTAATCGCAACATGGAACGGATAGTTGCTGTAATTGTCGATATGTCCAGATTCCCTGTTTGCAGCAAATGATGTCATTGGCCCGAATTTCCCAGCTGCATCCGTTGTGTTTTTTCGGTTGCCCCAGGAAAAGAATCATCAAGGCTTCCCCGTTTCCGGGGGCAGCTCATGAAGGTCATTCCTCCCAGGCCCGCCTTGCCAGTTTGGGACTATTTCTTTGCGTCCGCGCTGAGGCTGACGCAGATCGAAGACTTTGAAGCCCGCAAGAAAGAATGCAAGGACGCCCTCGCCGCTAAACAACCGCGTTGGCGAAGGCATATTTGCATCCAGATGGTTGGTTTCTCTCATGGCCATCACAACTCGTGAAGGTGCTTGTGGTGTCATGTATTTATGAACTGCTTTGCAGGTTTGCCCTTGGACAGGGCGGGTCAGTCCATATCGGATTCCCTAGATCCAGCTTGTCGGCCGCGGAAACTCTGGGAGCGTGGAATGACTTTACTGGTACCTTGTGTGGGAACCCAGGGTCCGTAAATGCAGTCGGGGTTACACCTCGGGCCTTTGCTTTTCTAGGTCAGCTGGGTTGAGCATAGAGGTCTTTGTTGGTTTCTACTCAGTTATACCTGTGCTGTCTATAAGGTTCACCCAGGCCCATGATACTTTAGAGCCTCCAGCTCAGTCCGCCGACATTGTCCTCTCCCTTTTCTCCTTCTTCCTCTCTTCCTTGTCTCCCTTGTGTGTTCTGTCGTCCTCTCTCCCTCCCTCTGCTCCCATCCTCCCCATCCCCCCAAGCCTCTCTCTCCCCACTCTCCCTCTCTCATGTATGCATGCATGTACATATGTATATGTATGTATGTATGTATGTATGTATGTATGTATGTATGTATGTATGTATGTATGTATGTAATGTATGTATGTATGTATGTATGTATGTATGTATGTATGTATGTATGTATGTATGTATGTATGTATGTATGTATGTATGTATGTATGTATGTATGTATGTATGTATGTATGTAATGTAATGTAATGTATGTATGTAATGTATGTAATGTATGTATGTATGTATGTATGTATGTATGTATGTATGTATGTATGTATGTATGTATGTATGTATGTATGTATGTATGTATGTATGTATGTATGTATGTATGTATGTATGTATGTATGTATGTATGTATGTATGTATGTATGTATGTATGTATGTATGTATGTATGTATGTATGTAATGTATGTATGTATGTATGTATGTATGTATGTATGTATGTATGTATGTATGTATGTATGTATGTATGTAATGTATGTATGTATGTATGTATGTATGTATGTATGTATGTATGTATGTATGTATGTATGTATGTATGTATGTATGTATGTATGTATGTATGTATGTATGTATGTAATGTATGTATGTATGTATGTATGTATGTATGTATGTATGTATGTATGTATGTATGTATGTATGTATGTATGTATGTATGTATGTATGTATGTATGTATGTATGTATGTATGTATGTATGTATGTATGTAATGTAATGTAATGTAATGTAATGTAATGTAATGTAATGTAATGTAATGTAATGTAATGTAATGTATGTATGTATGTATGTATGTATGTATGTATGTATGTATGTATGTATGTATGTATGTAATGTAATGTAATGTAATGTATGTATGTAATGTATGTATGTATGTATGTAATGTATGTATGTATGTATGTATGTATGTATGTATGTATGTATGTATGTATGTATGTATGTATGTATGTATGTATGTATGTATGTATGTATGTATGTATGTATGTATGTATGTATGTATGTATGTATGTATGTATGTATGTATGTATGTATGTATGTATGTATGTATGTATGTATGTATGTATGTATGTATGTATGTATGTATGTATGTATGTATGTATGTATGTATGTATGTATGTATGTATGTATGTATGTATGTATGTATGTATGTATGTATGTATGTATGTATGTATGTATGTATGTATGTATGTATGTATGTATGTATGTATGTATGTATGTATGTATGTATGTATGTATGTATGTATGTAATGTATGTATGTAATGTATGTATGTAATGTATGTATGTAATGTAATGTATGTATGTATGTATGTATGTATGTATGTATGTATGTATGTATGTATGTATGTATGTATGTATGTATGTATGTATGTATGTATGTATGTATGTATGTATGTAATGTAATGTATGTATGTATGTATGTATGTATGTATGTATGTATGTATGTATGTATGTATGTAATGTATGTAATGTATGTAATGTATGTATGTATGTATATGGTATGTATGTAATGTATGTATGTATGTATGTATGTATGTATGTATGTATGTATGTATGTATGTATGTATGTATGTATGTATGTATGTATGTATGTATGTAATGTATGTATGTATGTATGTATGTATGTATGTATGTATGTATGTATGTATGTATGTATGTATGTATGTATGTATGTATGTATGTATGTATGTATGTATGTATGTATGTATGTATGTATGTATGTAATGTATGTAATGTATGTATGTATGTATGTATGTATGTATGTATGTATGTATGTATGTATGTATGTATGTATGTATGTATGTATGTATGTATGTATGTATGTATGTATGTATGTATGTAATGTAATGTATGTATGTAATGTAAATGTAATGTATGTATGTATGTATGTAATGTATGTATGTATGTATGTATGTATGTATGTATGTATGTATGTATGTATGTATGTATGTATGTATGTATGTATGTATGTATGTATGTATGTATGTATGTAATGTATGTATGTATGTATGTATGTATGTATGTATGTATGTAATGTATGTATGTATGTATGTATGTATGTATGTATGTATGTATGTATGTATGTATGTATGTATGTATGTATGTATGTATGTATGTATGTATGTATGTATGTATGTAATGTATGTATGTATGTATGTATGTATGTATGTATGTATGTATGTATGTATGTATGTATGTATGTATGTATGTATGTATGTATGTATGTATGTATGTATGTATGTATGTATGTATGTATGTATGTATGTATGTATGTATGTATGTATGTATGTATGTATGTATGTATGTATGTATGTATGTAATGTAATGTATGTATGTATGTATGTATGTATAAGTAAGTAAGTAATGTAATGTAAGTGTAAGTGTATGTAATGTATGTATGTATGTATGTATGTATGTATGTATGTATGTATGCATGTATGTATGTATGTATGTATGTATGTATGTATGTATGTATGTATGTATGTATGTCATGTAATGTAATGTAATGTACTGTATGTATGTATGTATGTATGTATGTATGTATCCTTGCACTTCCCCTTTGCTCCCCAGTATTTCCCGCAAAAAAAACACGGTTTTTCCAGCGTTTTCGCAAAGAGGACGTCCAAAAACATTGAGTTTTTCCAGATTTTCGGCAAAAGGATGCAGGAAGCCCAAGCCAGCAAAAAAGCCGGCAGGGGGAATCGAGCCTGGGACCCCTGTTTTGCGACACCGGCTCCCCGAAGACTACGTTTAGTGGAACGTCATCAAATTGCCGCGCGGTACGTGGGGGACCCCCCCCCCCCCAAACACCTACGTAATAGACGTCGGGCGGGGGGGGGTTAGGGGGGGGGCTATCCTCTATCCTCTAGTAAGTATCCGACACGCCGAGCAACGTCGGCGGATTTGCACATATCATGAGCTCACCCATAAACGCCGAAGAACCAGCCACAGGTTGAATGCTTTATGATCGATCCTTGCTGCATGTTGGGGCGTGTGGCCAAAATCCTGCAAGAATCTGTGCTGGTTTGTGAGCAGTCATTCGCCCGGCTCGGAGATGCCTTGAACTTAACTCGGCGTGCAGAGCTTGCGAGCCAAACGTGGTTGCTCTCGAAAGTGCAGGGAGCCCTCAGGGTGCAAACGACTTGAATTCTTTGGTTTTTGCCTTCAACCTTTGGGGCTGAGCGCATCTCACTCGCAGGTCAGCAGGTGACCATGTTCAGGTCGGGCAAAACAATCTCAAGGCTCAAGCCATGGATTTACCGGATGTCTCAGGCAGGTGCGGGAGGCCGCGTTTTTTCCCGCTCTCCGAGCGGTCGTTCGCGCGCGCGCTTTCGCGCGCGCAGGACCGTTACAGCTTCGAGCTTGAAAAGTTGAAGGCGAGGAGTGTGTGGCGATGTCTGTGTGGTGTGTGTTTACTTGTTTTTGGGAGGTATATTTGTGGGCCCCTCTAGACTTTTTTGTTGCAAACACAATATTTGCAGGCCCCCCCCCCCCCCTCGGAAAGTGTGTAGATATCCTCTTGGAGGTATGCCTACCTTTTCCCAAGAAAGGTGGCAAAAGTGGTCCCTGCTCTGCGAGGTCATTGTCCTAGACATATCGGGTTAGCAGAATCCTTGGGCTCTTGCTAGTGAGGGCATCTAAGTGCAGAACGCCCCTGTCATTGGCAACAAGTCGGGGTTGCCCATCTTGCAATCGATTTGGGCGCACCAGGAGTTGTGGGGTCTTTGTTTTTGGTGGCGTTTCCAGGTGCAGGATTGAGGTCCATGTTCAATCATTGCCTGGTAAGAATCTAACTTTTCTGCTCCTCGCTTCAAGCATCCGTTTTTCCACTGGGAAGCCGGCAGTCTCCTTGGATCTCCTTGGCTTTGCGTGTCTTGCCAGATCAATGGAGTTGGTGGCTTGCTAGGGTGGGAAGCTCCACCCAGTTTAGGATGATATGGGTGCTCCGAAAACCCCCTCTTTAGTTTTTGTTTCCAAGCCAGAAGGAGTTCCTCACGATTGAAATGAGGTTTGAAGATTCGCCTTTTCGCCTATGTCAAGGGCTCCCAGGTTTAGTGGGCACGGACGAATTTGGACACCGGAACAAGTTTGACCCATGCTCGAAAGCGTCTGCTGCCCGAGCCTACAAACATTTGACAATTTGAGGGCGGGTCCCGAAAAAGGGATTGGACTGTCAGACCCCAGAAAAGGGCGCCCTATGACCCAACAAGGTGTGTGCGGGAAACAGCCCGTACCTTTGGCTGGGCTGTTGGCTTCCCGATAAAGACATGGCAACAGTTGTCGGCCCCAGGATTTGTTGAAAGCCAACAGGAGCTTCTCCCCAAGAAACCATATCTCCCACCCCAAACAGATGGCCGGGAACCTCCGTGTCTTAATCCCATTCCCCAAGTCGCCTGCATGTGTTCAACCTTTGAAGCTAGGGTTTAGGTGGTTTGTAACTTTGGAATTGTCCACCAGCACCCTCCAAGGGCGGCCCATTTGTACCCATAATTTTGCTCACACAAGAGCACTGCAGGTCGCCTCGGAGGCCGCCGGCCGGTGCTTTTGTTTTTTTGCCGGTCCAGCGGGTCGACGCCTCGCTCGGCCAGGCGGAGTTCTCCAAGCTGCGGCGGGCCGTGGACAGCGGCAAGCTGCAGGTGGCCGGGGCCTCAGAGGCGGCGGTCCGATTGTTGTTTGGGGCTTCAATGGCTTCAGACCAAGCCAAAGAAGTAATTACCCTTCAGCAGAAGTGCAATTTTTTGGGACCAAAGAAGTACCCTCCAAAAGCAGACGACCCAATTTGGGGGTACTCTCAAGTTCAGTCGACGCAATTCCTGGTGGTTGGTGCCCTTCAAAAACAGACGACGGCCAATTCTCTCAAATTTCGTCGGAGCAATTCCTGGTGGTTGGGTTCCTTTGTGCCACCAAAAGGCGGTCCCTATCTTGAGAGCCGTAAATTGTTGGAAAGGGGTGGAGGGGGGTTCGAATGCACCGGGCAAACAATGTCCAGAAGGGGACCGAAAGTTGGGGGGTAAGTCCACCTTCCCCAAAAATGGATGGCTTCCTTTGGTTCGTGAAGGAGGCCCAATTGGACATACCCCTCCTGTGGTGTTTGACAGGTGAGTTCCAGACCCCAAAGTCCCAAAGCCTCCGCCCGCAGAAGATGTCAGCCACTTGAGCCCGTACCCGGCACCTGAAATGAATCTGGAAGTTGAACAGGTCCAGTTTTCTGAGGAATTGCCATGGCCTGACTTCTGTTCATGATTCGGGCCCGCTTTGTGGAAGCTTTGCATATGAATTGGATGTGTGAGCCGTGCTCAGGTCAAGGACAAGGACCGGTGCAGAGAAATCATGTGGGAGGTCCAGGACCAGGTGAGCGTGCAGATGAAGGACAAGTTTGAAGTGGCTTGGCAAGTTTGGCTGTCAAGGGTCACGGACCAAAGTTGATTGGCCGTAGGTCATGGGTTGACGTACAGGACGCTCGATGAATTGCAGGGGGCTTAAAAAGTGCCCCATGAACGGGCAGAAGCCGCGGCAAAGCCCTCGACGATCTAGCATTTCATGCTCGGCCCAAGTTTCGTTCCATTGGGATTCACGCCTAAAGCAAAGTTGGACCCCATCAAATTTGGCCCTTTCCACGATGCCCTTAGGTGATGTCCAGCGTGCACATCCAGCGAATCCAGAGATTCTGGAATGTTCAGCAGAGGCATCGAATCATGAGGCGCGCTGCAAGTGCGCTGCGCGCCCCTCCACGACGCAATACATTTATTTTGTATCATATGCTGGTGTGAGTTTTTTGAAGCGAGCAGCTGTTTTTGGAAGATACCAATTTTCAGATCGGTTTCAAAGGGAAAGAACCGGAAGCCACTTTTTGTTGGCGCCTCCCGTGTTGACACGTGAAGTTATTTTTTTCGGGTATGATAGCTTGTTAGCTTACCAGTTGCCCCGCTCAATTGAAATGGGGCAAACATAGACGCCGGAGCGCCCAAGGATCGCTCGCCCCTCGTGCGGTTAGCTTTCCCATGGATTTGGCCGCATACCACGGCAGGTGCCCCAAATGCACACCGCACGAAGCACTGCCTAGAAAGTGCAAAGGCGATGAACGATGTTAATGTACATATGCCCGTGCACATGGGTACCTTAATGGTGCGTGGTTGTGCCCCAAGTGTATTTTGGCAGACCATTGTCTAAGTGAGTGTCATGTGCTGAAACCAAGGCAGCTTGTTTGCTCGTTGCCAGGTCAGGACTTGTTTTCTGCAAACGAGCAAACACAAATATCATTAAAATAACATCATGCAGCACAGCGCAATTTGGCAATGACGGAGAGTATATATTGGACTTTATCGGAACGCCGAGCACCCTCCCACTGAGCTCGAAATCCTAGCGCTGCCGTCACACCATCATGCTTAAACTATGTTTGCACGTGGTTGAAAGGGACACCACCCTCCAACAAGCATGCATTTTGAGCCCTCAAAATGTTCATTGTCATGGACCCGGCACAGGCAGACGATCGAATCAGGGTTCCATTTGTTGCTTACTGCCCAAAAGGGATGCGGGCCGCCCGTTTCAGAGAATCCCACCACACCACCTCCCACCAAACCGGGGAGTTGAAGCCCTGAGAGCTTCTGGTGGCATCTGAAACCCGGGTCTTGTAGCACCGATCCTCTGAATCTCTGGCTCTGGAACCCCCCCCCAGAAGCAAAGTGGGCTGGGTTTCGGCAGGGAGGCCTGGACGCTCCCCCACATTTTGGGTTCGCATCCTGGGGGCCCGGTTTTGCAGTTTTTGTGGACCAATTTGTGAGCCCGGGGAGCTGGGGGAAAGCTTGACCCCATGGAACTCACCAGAGCCGCGATCAAAACCCGGGTAGATGGCGGTTAGTAGGGGTCAAACTCCCAGCCACAAATAGCTGCGGATATCCGCCTTCTTAATTCTTTACCTGGTTCTGGGTAGACCATTTTAATACCGGGTTTTGATTATGGCCAGGGTCCGGAGGTCGGAGCGAGGTCCAGAGGGCAACCCCATGGAACTCACCGGAGGTCCGACCAGGAGCCCGGAGCTCGGAGCCTTCGCTCGCACGGTCGCACGAGGCAGGCCTCCGCGGAGAAGGAGATCCGGGACCTGAGGCGCAAGCTGGAAGAGCGCCGCAGGTACTTGCAGGCCTCGACGGGCTTCGGTGGCTGGGGGGTCGAGGGTCGTTTTTTGCGGCGGGGCCCTGGTGGGGTTTCGGCTGGAGAGATACACCGCAAGGGAAACAAAAGAGCTCGGGGGAGGAAGATGAAGCAGAGGGCAAGCAGCAGCCTGCAATGACGGTCAAATGGTTTGTGAAGTGACTTGTGGGCGTTTTGTTTGGGTCATTTGGCAGCCCAGGGGGCAGAGAAAAGATGCGAGGGTCAAGCTATTTATGCGCATTTTGGACAAGTGACTATTTTTTTTGTGTGGCTTATATTCGATACCCTTGAACCCGCTTGGCCTGCTAAAACCGCTCCAGGAAGAGGCTCAAAACGACCTCAAAAGCCACGCAGCAGCAGATCCGGAGAGTGCCCTTTCTGGGGTCGCCTCACGTCTGTTGTTTTCCCCAACCACTCTAGGAAAGAGCATCGAACCACAAAACACACAATCCCACATGAATTACCAGTAGGGGTTCAAAATATAAGAGCTATAGTTTGGAGCGCGACTCTTTTCCCCTTCCCTCTCTCTTTCTCTCTCTCTCTCTCTCTCTCTCTCTATCTCTCTCTCTCTCTCTCTTGCTTTCTCGTTTTATCTTTCTCGTTTATTTTTTTGTCTTTCGCTTTCTCTCCTTATTTATCTTGCTCTTACTCTCATTATTTCTCTTCTTTCTCTTTCGCTTTGTCTTCCTCTTTCTCTGGTTCTTTCTCTTTATGTGTATCTTTCTCTTCCACTGCCTCTTTGTCTCTCTATTTTACATTTCTTCTTGTTTGTTTCCTTTTTATATATTTTTGTGTCTTAAATGTTTGCATTTATCTTGTTATTGTGTTCTTCCTCTTGTTCTTCCTCTTTCTCTTCCTCTCTCTCTTTCTCTGCGTATCTTTCTTTCTCTTTCTGTCTTTCTCTTCCTCTTGGTTTGATCTTTGTCTTTTTCTTTGCTTTTATTGTGTTCGTTATTATTGTTCTTTCTTTCTTTTCTTTTCTTTCTTTCTGTCTCTCGCTCTCCCTCCCTCCCTCCCTCCCTCCCTCCCTCCCTCCCTCCCTCCCTCCCTCCCTCCCTCCCTCCCTTTCCAGCCCACCAGAGTGAAGCAAGCAAGAAACACACTAGAATTTGTGGGGCTGAGCGGCCAAAAGTCTGGTTCGATCGAAGCAAACAAACGAGTTTTCGAAGTTCGACCCAGCGAACGTCCGCAGAGGGAAGGCTTCAAAGCGCAGCTTCCTTTGATGCCCCTGGTATGAACTACCTGGTTGATGAACTGGTTGAAGAAACCCATTCCACAGGAGTTCCCCCATCCCGAACAAAAATATTAACAAATACCTAATTACATCTCTGGAGTATGGCTTCAACTTTTTCTAGATCCAGGAACTCGAGGGCGCCAGTCATTGGGTGGGGGGCCGCAGGTGGCGAAGGCGCGGCAAGTGGTGGCGCAGAGCCGCGCAGAGGCCACAGAGGCGAGAGCCGAAGCCTTTTCAGCGAGGCCACTGGAAAATGGCCAGAGAAATCCTCGTATGTCTGATGACAAAAGGGTTCTGCTGCATTTTGTTTCAACCTGCGGTGCTACAAGCAAGTGGTGCCTCCTTTGTTTTGGCACCGTTTTTTTTTTCTCCTTTTTTTTTTTTTCGGATTCCCAAATCAAGGCAATCGACCCAGGACCATAGGTGTCTGGAACCAGACTGGTTTCAGATTGGTGGAACTAAATTGGCTTGGGGTTGATCCCTGTTTGGCTTCCGCCGGGTGCTGTTTTGTTCAAGTACCATTCGGAGCCATCAATCTGTAAACCCAAACACTCAACTTAAGCAACATTTGCCCGCATTTACCCTCCAAACGGTCAATTGTTGTTGTCTATGTATAATATATACGTGTATATATAATATATACACCATGACATGGATTGTGTGGGACACACCGAGGTCCAGGGACCCAATTTTGGTTGAGCAACGCCCTCTCAGCGGTTGAGCAGGTACAGCTCTTGCTGCTGGAGCTTCGCTTGCGCGCCCAGGACGTGGGGGGAGGAAACGGGACTTGTTTTGGTTGGTTGGTGGTTGGGTTGGGTTGGGTTGGGTTGGGTTGGGTTGGGTTGGGTTGGGTTGGGTTGGGTTGGTTGGTTGGCTGGTTGTGTTTATGGCGTCAGACCCTCTCACCAGCCACGGACACCAAATCGATGTTGCTTAAACAACAGTTGGAACATGTTTAAGCAAGGTTTAGGCATGTTTAGGCCCAACCCTGGACTCAGAGCGCAGTTGTAGAAGGAAACTGACATGACTTTCACCCTAAGGGCCCCTTGGAAAGTTTTGAGACCTTCGCATTTCCCTCCCTTTTCCTTTGTCTTTAAATTTACGGTCTGGGAAACATGGCCAAGGTGCCGTGGCAAGTAGAGTGATGGCCAAGCTGCAAGGGGGACAGGGCACTGCCACGGGCCGTCAGCCGTGGGCCCGGACTCTAGAGGCTCCAAGGCACTGGTAGCTTGCCTCTGAAAAGACTTTGTCCGCACAAATGAGCCAGAGGGATACTAGGTAATTATGATTTCAAGCGCCTTGATATCCCCAAGCATCACGTTGCATTTGCCACCCCCGTTCTGCCAACTTCAAACAAGCCAGGGGGCGGAGAGACATGCAGTTTAGATTGCGTGCGTAGTTGAGAAGACTATGCACTCGAGTTACAGTAATGCTTGCGTGCCTCTGAACTGAGCACCACGGGCTTGCGCGTCTTGTCTTTGCTTGTTTTGCCTCTTGCACATTTGGGTGTGTGCGTGTGATTTTTTCGGGGGTGCCTTTTCAGGTCGGTTGAAAAGGAATCCGGAAATAAGGCAAACAAACCATTGTGGGGTCTCCCTATTTTGACAACCGATTGGTTTACCGGCCCATTTATTGCCAGTGCAGTGGTGCCCTGTTTCCGTTTTTATTTTGAGGCTGCCTTTGTTCTGGGAAACCACTGCTTCAGGATACGCCCTTTGAACAACGCTTCTTGCACAATTGAACGTCCTGGGCTTTTTGCGAGGTGACGTAACAACTCATCGATGCACTTGGAGGCCTTGCTTTTGCGGACATTTGGACTATGTGTCACTTTCTGTACCCAAAGAAGGCCATGTCTTCTTCCGCTATGGGCGCACGTGGATGCCTCAGCCCCCGTTTCGGTTGAAGGCCCGGGGGGTTGCCTTGTGAGGAGCTGGAGGGGGGCTGCCCTGTGGGGCGCTGAGCCCATGTCAGAGGGTGCTCCCAGCCATCCAGTTCAACAGCTTGTTAGCTCTTTGGTTGGTTGGTTGGTTGGTTGGTTGGTTGGTTGGTTGGTTGGTTGGTTGGTTGGTTGGTTGGTTGGTTGGTTGGTTGGTTGGTTGGTTGGTTGGTTGGTTGGTTGGTTGGTTGGTTGGTTAGCTCTGTTTAGCTCTTTGGTTGGTTTAACCGGTAGTAGTGGTAGTTTCCATTGAACCCACTACAAGGTAAACACTTGTCGCAGGGGATGCGAACACGGGCGGCCCAGTAAAGTACGCGTCAAAGTCTTTATGGCGATTTGGTAAGGGATCTTTGGACTTGAACTCTTTGGTTGAATCAGCCCGGATTTTTCGCATTGGACCCACAAAAAGCTGCAACCGCTTGTTGCAGAGAGGTCAACAGCAACCAAGGACTAGGCTCAGGACCCGAGTTCCTGGACTTTGTACTTTCTAGGAAGTTGTACACACAAGCTTTGAGCTTTGTTCACCAGGCCACCAAGGACGTGAGCAGGGATTTTGGAATTCAAGGTGGCCTTTCTTTTGGTTTCCCTTTAAACCAATCTGAAATGATGCAAAACATCACGTACGGTGAGCATGTTCCCTCAGTCTGTGGCTTGTTTGGGAGTGACCATTGGCACACTCCATTTCCGACACGACTCAGGGGGACTCACTCTATCGCATGCAATGACTGTGGCGTGAGCGCACTTAGCCGAGCAACGGTCAATCTTCACCGCCACTTGTAGTCGAGGGAACGACACTCACCAGATTCCCACAAAATGGAGGCTACTCACAAGAATCCAATGTCACTGGGGTACTCACTGATTGTCGTTTGGTGTGCGTGTGTTTCGAGGGTTTCCGTTTCGCTTTAATTGAAAGGGACAGAAAACCATATTGCTTTAAGTCCCAAAATGTTCGCACATACCGAGATGTTGAGCGCTAGGACCACTTGGAGGGAGATACGCTGAGGCAGAACGAAGGACCTTCCGAAAGATGTGGTCATCGGGCGACCTGACCATGACGCCACCAACAGGCACGGAAGCAACACAATCCCCTCCAGGCTGCTGGCATTCGTTTTGGGATCATCGGGTTATGAAGACTTGTCACATCTTGCGGAATCATGATCACTCTGAGCGGAAAAGGTGTCACTGCTTACGGAAGTGAAACTGTCTCTGCTTACGGAAGTGAAGCCACTACACGCGGAAAATATAGGGGTAGGAAGCTCCTTCCTTTCTAAGGCTCCTTTCTAAGGCTCCTTTCTAAGGCTCTTTTCTAAGGCTCCTTTCTAAGGCTCCTTTCTAAGGCTCCTTTTTAGCCTCTTTTCTAAGGCTCCTTTCTAAGGCTCCTTTCTAAGGCTCCTTTCTAAGGCTCCTTTCTAAGGCTCCTTTCTAAGGCTCCTTTCTAAGGCTCCTTTCTAAGGCTCCTTTCCTTTCTAAGGCTCCTTTCTAAAAGGCTCCTTTCTAAGGCTCCTTTGCTAGGCTCCTTTCTAAGGCTCCTTTCTAAGGCTCCTTTCTAAGGCTCCTTTCTAAGGCTCCTTTCTAAGGCTCCTTTCTACTTCTATTTCTATCCCGTTCTACTTCCAACCTTTTTCTTTAAGGCGCCTTTCTAAGGCAACCTTTCTAAGGCTCCTTTCTTAGGCCTTTTCTAAGGCTCC